TGTAGTATGAATAATACGGATACACGCTTAAATTTTATCCCTTAACAAGTCTCTAATTTAGCTGTTCGTTTTTTTTACAAATTCTCACCCCCCATCCCCCTTCGTTTTCCAGTCAATCCTCGCTCTAAAAAAACATATTTTCGTGCACCAGTTCCAGCACGCAACTATAATCCAACAATTTCGTTTCAGAAACGCGTTTCAAGTAAATTTTTAAAAATATTCTTAACAAATTAAGAACATAACCGTCCCTAACTGTAAAAAGAACGCCGCCATTCGTCGACCACTTCAACACGAATCGCGAGTGGTTTCGCTTGCGGGGAGTCGAAGTTTCGAACACCGACGGGAAAATGGTTTCCGCTCTAACTGTACACGCCTACGTAGCAATGAATTACCGTGGATTAATAATCATGAATTATTCTACATCGCGTCGATCAACATCCCGACAGACTTCTCGCTAACAGAACGTAGCTGGAACTCAATCGTATCATATACTTTTCTTCGCCTCGTTCTCCCTTCAATTTCTCCATCAAATTTATTTTCATCCGCTAATATCCCTCTCCCTCGAGCAGGGTCTACCGCTACGCAGAATGTATCCTTCATGATTCCGATCGGAATTTCGTCTATGTACAAGAAAGAACGAATCGCGACACGGGAGAAACACACCGGAAAGAGAACATCCTCGATATTTACACGAATTCTCCGATAGGGCAAACCCGTCGTCTCCGTCTACGAGCAAATCGGCCCGGCAAGATCATCTTCGATAGAACCATTCCACTACCGCTAATACTGGAAGTTCCATTTTTGGTTGCCATTCGTTTCGTCACGACAGAAAGGAGATACGTAACGATCGATTCCGCTCGTTCCACGCTGTTTTCATGGCCCGACAATATATGTATCGACGCTGAACGTCGCGTTAATTCGAAAATTCGATGCAAGTAAAAATGATCCTGAAATTCACGCTGGCCCGCATCACGTTCGCGGAGGCGTGATTCGAACGCGACGTTTCGCGGCGGTGAAAACAACGCAGAACGTGCGTCAATCTCTCGTTAATCACAGATGCAACGAACACGAGGACGCTGGTCGATTGCCCTCGGCGTTCGCCTCTCTTCCCCTCTTTGAAATTACAGTTTCGAGGACACCTGTTCCCTAGACACGCGTTAATTATACACAGGAACGCCGCGCGATATCGTGATGTTCTTTAACGTGGATTCGCTCGGAGGTCATCGGCACTGCTTCTGCTCGGATGCAACCGGGTTCAAGGTGCCGACGGACTTTTTCGACGACTTCTTCCCTTCGGACTTAGAAGCGCTGCTCTCCGATCCCTTCAGACCAGTCACCCTGCAGGGCTTGCTGGAGGAGGTCTTCTTGTCCTTGCTCGACTCCGACACCTTGTCCAGCTCAGCCATTGCCTCCTGTATGGCATTTTCCAGCTGCATATTCAATTTACGACTTCTAGAAGAAGAAAACGGGAGGGGCACGAGAAAATCGTGGTGTTAGTCGTGAGGATGATCGAACTCGGTGTGGTACGATCTTAGAGGGTAAACAGCGAAGCCGTGATACATCTAGGATGCGATACGCAACTACTTCGTTACTTAGGTGGTTGGTTTTCTTTTTTCTTGGACAAGGAACGCGGTGCTGGGTAAAATGTTGCTTAAAATAATATATCGAGAATAGAGTTGTTTATTGTGAATCATGCTGATCTTGGTATAGTTTGGTGGTAAAGTACCTTATCTCTTGAAATTTGTTTTTAAAGTAGTATTTGAAAATGTTACTTTAGAGAGTAATGGATTTTTTGGCTGTATTTTGAAATGTTTTCTTTTAGGTTTGCCGCTTGGATTTAATGTACTAAATTATAATAGATTCTTGCGATGTGGTATTATTATTTTTATCAGTTTGCTTCTATTAAGAAATGTTTGAAGTATGTATTGAAGTGCAAGAGTAAAATATTTCAGATTATTGAAATGAGAGCATTTATTTTGTTGAACGTTTTAAATACTTTTCCTTGGAATTTTACCCAGCACTGAAGGAACGTCACTTGGTGTCTGGAATCAATTTTGTGTTTCCTGAAGTATCCTAAACATTTTTACATCAAAAAACACAAGAAAAAAGTTCTAAACACTTGAGCAATAACCGCACAGCAGATATTTATACAATTCTCAGTGTTTGAAATGAAAGTGGAAACTGATAAAATAGATTTATTTAAATAGAAAATTATTTTCTTCTAAAAAATATAAAAATGATAAAAATTGTAAGAAAATGTATTTCGATGTATGAGCATCTGCAATGCAGTAATAACTCATATGTGAAAATTGTCGAGTCTCCTCAAATGTTCCTTAATCAATCAACGTACACAAACAGAAATTTGTATACATATTATAAATGAGTTCTTTCATTTATTGTTTGCAAAGTGCTCGTTAACACCAATTTTATTTATTATTTCTTATGCAACTCACGTTGAACTGATATGAAACGCAATTTAAAATAAATACTGAAAAATTTATCGCTATTCAATTATCTTGGATAATTTTGATTGTCTAAAAACATTTCAAATAAACACTTACTTGTATAGTTAATAATTTTTCAAGTCACTTTTATAATAAAATTCTTTCATTTAGATAAATCTACATATCTAGTTGCCAATTAAATAAAAAAATTACTCTGCAATAATTCTTCTCTTTTGTATTTCTTTTCTTTTCATGGATTTTCCACATGTACACTGATTGCATCAAACAAATTCAATTGTTACTTTGTCGATGCCCTTCAATTGCCATGTAGTCGTAATACGTTCTACAAATATTATATATACTACGAGGAACATGTTACTAAAGACAGAATAATAGTTTCATTTAAACAGCAATACTAAGCAGAATAAAAGAATTGCGCATATCTATGCAGAGTGTACAATTAAAACACATCTGAGACGCGCAACTGCGATCACGGAATTAGGATAAAAGCATCTTCCAATGAAAAAGGCTTCCTAAAAGGAACAGCTTCAAAGCATTCTACTCGCGGAAATGAATACTTGCAGTGATCGAAAATCGCAGTTACGCAAGAAGTTTCTTAAATATAACAGAGACTCGATATCATTGGCTGCTGGTTTGTTACCAATCGCTGTACAAAACTGATCCATACCAGAAATTTCGCTAAAATGTTTATGAATCAAGTTTGTAAAGCATCAATCAATTCCCGTCATTTCAAATTCAAATGATTTTTAAATCATATCAGATCTCGGGCGTGGACAAACGATAATAAAATACAAAATATATTTTCATCCAATATAACCACGCTGCTACATTACCACTTCGTCTTCTCTTTTCGAGATAACTTTCAATAATCATCGACTCTAGAAAAACTAATCTAGGAAATCAAACAACTTATCTCAGTATTCAAACATTTCCCTTCAATTATTTGCAAAGCGATATTTTCTCTAATACGAAAATGATTTACCAATATCGATATTAATAAAAGTGTCCTACATAAGATAAACAACACATCGTTAATATTCTTAACATTAACATAAAGCTGTATTTATAAAAAATACTAGTAATATTTCTAATATTAAAATCAATAGAATTCCCTTCAGTCCTTCTAGAAATAAGTTCTACAATCTTCAGTTTACAAGTTCATAAAGGATATCATTTCTTGTGCGTTACTATCGTTTGCCTCCGAGTGCGTATCACCCCTAGGTGGCATCTTAACTCGTTTCTGATTGTTAATCCCCGAACGAGGTGGTGCGACTCACTTCCTAAACTTTTTTCGCGCACGGTGGTGCGCCTCGAGGCCTTCGGAGAGGGACTTGAGAGCCTTGACCTCGACCTGGCTCCGACCGCCCCCGCCCCCGTACCAACGGACACAGACCGTCATAGACCCCGGGGGGCCTAACGACTCGACCTTGCCCGGCCATGCCGGACTTCCTCTTGCGGCGCCCCATACTAGCTCACCCACTTCCAGTTTCCTCTGGCTCTTCTCCTCTGATTTCGCCTTGGTTACTAAACGTTCCAAACAAGACACGAGATTTTCTTTCGATCTCTGTTCCATCGATTTTTCTCTCAACCGTCTTACTATTTCACTAATTAGGGAACAGGCTCTAACGACATTCGCTGATTCTCATGGAACTTTGATGGAGAAGCTTGTTCTTGCAAAAATATTTTTGGAGGTTTTCACTTTAAGGAATATGTAGACAGAATTTGGAGATTAATTTTCGAAAGGTGCTAACCTAATTAACTGACATTTGATAGAAAGTTATTATTCGTTTTAGTGTGAGCAATTAAAAATACGGACTTGAAATGCCAAATTAACTGTGTCAACTTTCTTAAATAGATTATTATTCTAGTAAAGAGATAGATAGAGAATAGATTGATTGATGAAATTTTTCATGTTCTTTTCTTATAAAAGGAATAATTAATTAAAAAAGAGTACGTATCAAATATTTTTGTAGGAAGTATTTTCTGTCAAATCTTCATCAAAATCCACGGATGTCGCTTCAGTATGTTCCCTTGTCAGGCTCGAAATATGTGGCGATTCAGCGTGAATTTAAAAGACCGAACTCGCGTCCGGTAAGCACAACGAAGAGTCACGGGATCGTGTTCTATTATTTTTAAAACGAAAATATTAAAAACAAAATAATATACTATAGTCTTCTTATCAATATTTCGCATTGAAAACAAAAGTCTTATAAAAGCCTTCCATAGACATACAAAATACAGAATTAACTAAAGCTTAACACGGTTTCATTTTATTTGTCATTCACAGTAATCGTCAGCGAGAAAAGCTAAAATTTGACTCCAATCTTTGCTTAAATTCTCCAGCACA